TTTTTACTTACAATTGTTATAAATAATAATGCTTTTAACGTCTATAAATAATTTATGCTATAAAAAAATACAAACCACAACAATAAACATACAAAATTTTACAATTCTTAACAAATTAATAAAAATATTTCTAAAAATATTTCTGTGACTTTTTTTCCAAAAATTTTTTCCACTGTGACTTTTTTTCTGTGACTTTTTTTTCCTAGCAAAAACTGTGACTTTTTTTCTGTGTTTTTTTTTCCTGTGACTTTTTTTCCGTTTACCGGTCGGGGTAGGGGGGACTGGGGTGTTGGGGTGTGGGGTTGGTGGGGTGTGTGGTGTAGGGTGGGGTGTTGGGGTTGGTGTAGAGTGGGGTGTGGGGTGGGGTGGTGTAGGGTGGGGTGTTGGGGGGGGGGGGGTTGTGTACGGTGGTGTTTAGGGTAGGGTTATGTGGTGTATGGTATGTGGCGTGAAAGGTACGTAGGGTGTAGGGTAAGTGGGGTGGAGGTGTAGGTGGGGATGGGGTGGATTGTAGGGTAGGTGGATTGTAGGGTAGGTGGGATGTAGGGTAGGTGGGATGTAGGGTAGGTGGGATGTAGGGTAGGTGGGATGTAGGGTAGGTGGGGTGGAGGTGTAGGTGGGGGTGGGGGTGGGGTGGATTGTAGGGTAGGTGGGGTGTAGGGTAAGTGGGTTGGGGTACAGATTATGTGCGTTTGGAGGCGGAGGTTAAACAAAAATTTCAGCTTTTAATTGGATTCCCTTGACCTGCTGCACGATCATATCAACTCAATGAGCTAACACTTGGTAACATTTAAACCCTATCGCTAACATTTGGTAACACTTAAACCCTATCGCTAACATTTGGTAACATTTGGTAACATTTAAACCCTACCCTAACACTTACTACCCGCTTCAATGTGTTGATTGGCCTGTATGTACAGCTAGCTGTGAGTGATTGGCACGTGTACCGCTGACATTGATCCCACTCGAGGCTTTTGAACTTTGGAATTGTTGAAGGCAGTAGAGTCACGTGACGTGCTGATAATCCATCCATCATAGTGGGTTATCATTTGATATCCCACCCATAGTGGCATCTAACATATGTGTGACATCTAATGTATGTGACATCTAATGTATGTGACATCTCATGTGTGTGACATCTCAAGTGTGTGACATCTCATGTGTGTGACATTTAATGTATGTGACATCTCATGTATGTGACATCTAATGTGTGTGACATCTAAACTGAGCTAAATAAACATGGCAGCGATCCCGCCTTGGGTCATGCTGTTACGACCCTGACCTTTGATCCCGGGTAGGTGTGGCCACACGGTGGCATATTAAAACCCACCTTGTGACGTCAGTGATTCGTTTGACTGCTCTCCCCCCCCCCCCCCGTTCCATTATCTGGAGCGACTTGAGGACAATCATGGGGGAAAATTCCCAGAGAAAAATCACAGGCAGGGATAGTGATTCAAACAACCCATCAGTGCCGTAAGCAGGATTTTAGCCAAAACAATTTAAGTATAATTAATCAATTGCCAGTCCACCCTCTCCAAATTATGTTAATGAGGTTATGACCTTCACTTTTAATTATTTACCCCATCTCCCAGCACTTGAAGTTTCACCAGAAAAAAAAAACAACACATTTCATCAGCAACCACATTTTGGCGGGAAAAAGCAATTCTTCTGCACGTGGAAACTATTTCCTCATCGGTTATTTTTAGCTCCGAATCTGAAACACAGGATTTGTAGAATAATCTGTAAAATTAGGAAACACTTTTTTGGGGAAAAAATACGCACGCCAAACCAGAGTTTCTTCCAGGCATCTCTTCGGGAGGGAGGGGGGGGGGGGGGCTAAGCCCCCCCCCCCCCGAAATATTTTTACCGCCCCCCCCCCCGAACGAAATGAAATTTATATAATTTATATAGAAAATATTTATATAGAAAATATATACTTTTAACAGTGTCCGTCCCCCCCCCCCCCCCGAAGAAAGTTTACCGCCCCCCCCCCCCGAAGGTTTTAAAGTGCCCCCCCCCCCCCCGGAGAAAAAAATCTGGAAGAAACACTGCGCCGAACTATAGGTTAAAACAGGTATAATGACAAGATTAGCAGGACAGACACAGTGACAAGAATAACAGGACAAACAATGTCAAAATTACAGCAATACAAAGATTGATATAGTAGGATGTTGTTTTTACTTTCTCGTATATACGAAGTATAGAGAAAGTCTTGTAATCGTGCAAAAAAAAAAAAAAATCGAGATTTTTACAAATCTCGACGTTTTACACCTCACTGATACGGAAAAACATAATTTTGCAATCTTGTCCGTATGTCTGTGTGTCTGTCTGTCTGTCTGTCTGTCTGTCTGTCTGTCCGTGTGTAAACACGATAACTTGAGTACCGTTACAGCTAGGTTGATGAAATTTCATATATAAGTATTTTATCAAAATCGTAGATCCGTATCAACTTTGAGCGATTTCCGATAACCGGAAGTGGTACTTTTCCTACTTTGAATTTTTCAAAAGCCTATAACGTGAGTACTATTTCAGATAGATAAATGAAATTTCACATGTAAGTAAAAGATCTAATTCTCTACCTTCTGTTAAATTTTGAGTATTTTCCGTTGACCGGAAGTAGTAATTTACGCTACTTCAGATTTCTCAAAAAAATAATTTAAATTTAAAGTACTAATAATATTGCGCACTATTATGCACTTTTTTATTTAGCGTTCACTTGGTGTGCAATTCTTTTGTCTACGAGATTTTATTCTATTTTTAAAACTTTAAGTATTTAAAATGGATTAAAAATCATGTCTATAGCCCGAGTTCCCATCCCCTGTTATTTTATATAAGAATATTCGAGAAAGTTTAGGGGAGATCACTCCCGGTTTATTGTTTACCGTGAAAAGAAAAGATTCCAGCAGGTTAAAATAAGTATCACAGACCCTTGTCTTTCTCGGCCGTGTGTTTTTGTTACTTGTTTTTGTTGCCTGTATGTTTTTGTTGCCTGTTTTTGTTGCCTGTATGTTTTTGTTACCTGTTTGTTTTTGTTGCCTGTATGTTTTTGTTGCCTGTTTTTGTTGCCTGTTTTTGTTGCCTGTTTTTGTTGCCTGTTTTTGTTGCCTGTTTTTGTTGCCTGTATGTTTTTGTTGCCTGTTTTGTTGCCTGTTTTGTTGCCCAAACAGGAAATAAATAATTAGAAGCTGTTCTACAGCTGTCCTAGAGAATCAGTCAACAAATATAAAATTGTCTGATATCTAGAGTGAAACCGTTTGATGAGAGTATGTAAACAAATCACATGAGATTGAAACCGTTTGATGAGAGTATGTAAACAAATCAGTTGGGATTGAAACCGTTTGATGAGAGTATGTAAACAAATCACATGAGATTGAAACCGTTTGATGAGAGTATGTAAACAAATCACATGAGATTGAGTGAAACCGTTTGATGAGAGTATGTAAACAAATCACATGAGATTGAAACCGTTTGATGAGAGTATGTAAACAAATCACATGAGATTGAAACCGTTTGATGAGAGTATGTAAACAAATCACATGAGATTGAAACCGTTTGATGAGAGTATGTAAACAAATCACATGAGATTGAAGCCGTTTGATGAGAGTATGTAAACAAATCACATGAGATTGGTGTGTGCTGATAAGAAAGATTTTTGCTTACATCAGACGAAAAGTGGGCAACTGTTATGGGCAACTGTTGTTTTCTATTGTGTAACTTTTCCTTCTCGCGTGCTTTTGGTTTTTGCTCTTGATTAGCACCGTGTTCAAATGTTTGTTTTGCTTGGTGTGTTCAAGGTTTGTGGCGGGTGGGAGACGGTCGCCTAAGTGGCAGGCGTATCGTGCAGTATCGTGACGTGTTGGAGTGCTGGAGTGTTTAAAATAGCCGCCCCACTGTGTGAAAACCTGTTTGTTGACAGGTGATTTCAGGCAATCAGGTCTGGCAGTGTGCTGTGACGTGGTGTGTAGTTGTGTGATGTGTAGTTGTGTGGTGTGTAGTTGTGTGGTGTGTAGTTGTGTGGTGTGTAGTTGTGTGGTGTGTAGTTGTGCGGTGTGTAGTTGTGTGGTGTGTAGTTGTGTGTAGCTGTGTGGTGTGTAGTTGTGTGGTGTGTAGTTGTGTGGTGTGTAGTTGTGTGGTGTGTAGTTGTGTGGTGTGTAGCTGTGTGGTGTGTAGTTGTGTGTAGTTGTGTGGTGTGTGGTTGTGTAGAGTTGTGTGGTGTGTAGTTGTGTGGTGTGTAGTTGTGTGGTGTGTAGCTGTGTGTAGTTGTGTGATGTGTAGTTGTGTGGTGTGTAGTTGTGTGGTGTGTAGTTGTGTGTAGTTGTGTAGTTGTGTGGTTGTGTGTATCTGTGTGTAGTTGTGTCGTGTGTAGTTGTGTGGTGTGTAGTTGTGTGTAGTTGAGTGGTGTGTAGTTGTGTGTAGTTGTGTGGTGTGTAGTTGTGTGGTGTGTAGTTGTGTGTAGTTGTGTGGTGTGTAGTTGTGTGTAGTTGTGTGGTTTGTAGTTGTGTGGTGTGTAGTTGTGTGTAGTTGTGTGATGTGTAGTTGTGTGTAGTTGTGTGGTGTGTGGTTGTGTGTATCTATGTGTATCTATGTGTATCTGTGTGTAGTTGTGTGGTTTGCAGCTGTGTGGTGTGTAGTTATGTGATGTATAGTTGTGTGGTGTGTAGTTGTGTGGTGTGTAGCTGTGTGGTTGTGTGTATCTATGTGTACCTGTGTGTAAATGTGTGGTGTGAAGTTGTGTGGTGTGTAGCTGTGTGGTGTGGTTGTGTGTATTTGTGTGTATCTGTATGGTGTGTAGCTGTGTGCTGTGTGCCAGTGTGTTGTCGCGTAGTGTGTAGCCTGCTAGTGTAGCTCTGTGACATATTTATATTTTAAATTATTGATGTAGTGTTCAATAGCTGTGACGTCATATTTTATGACTGGCAGTCCTGTGACGTAATCGACTGTATGGTTTAATTTGCATATCGTCTCAGACATTCCTCAGAGTGTAACCCCTAAAACCAACACACACACATGTATACACACTCACACCCACACACAGTCACTGACACACACTTGAGTGAACCAACTTTCTTTCCCCTACCAGACATGGAGCGACCTCTGCCGGTACCTAAAGACATCACGGCCAGTACTCCGGTGAGAGATGGTTTCTTCCATCTATGGCATGTTTGTCTTTAAAGGCTGTGATCTTTTCTCTTTTTTGTGACAGTCTAATGTCTGTCTGATGTCTGTCTAATGTCTGTCTAATGTCTGTCTAATGTCTGTCTAATGTCTGTCTAATGTCTGTCAAATGTCTGTCAAATGTCTGTCTAATGTCTGTCAAATGTCTGTCTAATGGCCGCCTAATGTCTGTCTGATGTCTGTCTAATGTCTGTCTAATGTCTGTTTAATGTCTGTCTGATGTCTGTTTGATGTCTGTCTGATGTCTGTCTGATGTCTGTCTGATGTCTGTCTGATGTCTGTCTGATGTCTGTCTGATGTCTGTCTGATGTCTGTCTGATGTCTGTCTAATGTCTGTCTGATGTCTGTTTGATGTCTATCTGATGTCTGTCTGATGTCTGTCTGATGTCTGTCTGATGTCTGTCTGATGTCTCTCTAATGTCTGTCTAATGTCTGTTTAATGTCTGTCTGATGTCTGTCTGATGTCTGTCTGATGTCTGTCTGATGTCTGTCAAATGTCTGTCTAATGTCTGTCAAATGTCTGTCTAATGGCCGCCTAATGTCTGTCTGATGTCTGTCTAATGTCTGTCTAATGTCTGTTTAATGTCTGTCTGATGTCTGTTTGATGTCTGTCTGATGTCTGTCTGATGTCTGTCTGATGTCTGTCTGATGTCTGTCTGATGTCTGTCTGATGTCTGTCTGATGTCTGTCTGATGTCTGTCTAATGTCTGTCTGATGTCTGTTTGATGTCTATCTGATGTCTGTCTGATGTCTGTCTGATGTCTGTCTGATGTCTGTCTAATGTCTGTCTAATGTCTGTTTAATGTCTGTCTGATGTCTGTCTGATGTCTGTCTGATGTCTGTCTGATGTCTGTCTGATGTCTGTCTAATGTCTGTCTAATGTCTGTTTAATGTCTGTCTGATGTTTGTCTGATGTCTGTCTGATGTCTGTCTGATGTCTGTCTGATGTCTGTCTAATGTCTGTCTAGTGTCTGTCTAATGTCTGTCTGGTGTCTGTCTAATGTCTGTCTGATGTCTGTCTAATGTCTGCCCATGTGTACAGAAAACAGAAAGCGTATTTTGACTTTCTCCTCCAGCCAGGCAACAGACCAACAAGAAAAGAGGCGCCACTTCCTCCAGAGCCCATAGACAGTAGGTAGTTTAGATGCACTCCATACTTGCGTGGGTGCAGAACTATATATATTTATATAGTTATATATATATATATATATATATATATATATATATATATATATATATATATATATATATATATAACTATATATATATATATATATATATATATATATGTGTTTGATTTCTATACTGACTGAAGCTTTTTATTGATATAACAGTTTTGTTGTCATTCTTGAGTGTTTTTCTTTAAATTTGTTATCGTGTGTTTCAATATCCTAATATATAAAAGACCCTGTGCGCACCTCTCTCTCTCTTTGTCCGCAAAATATTTTCGCCGGACATCACATCAGAAACTGCAGCGATATATGAAGAACTTTATACGGACTTTTGTTGAAAATAATATGTTAGATGTTTTAAATGTATAACCACAATTTTATCTAAAGAAGAAGAATAAAAAATAAAGGCGTATTCGAATGTAGAAAAACAATTTTAATTATGCAACCGGAAAAGTGTTTAAACTTGGGACAAGAACGCATTTAACAATTACGTCGCTTATTGTTTACACTAAAAAAAAAGAGCACGAAACTGATGACGTCATCTTCCGAGTTTAGAATAAAAAGAAATAAACTAATTCATTCAAATATGATTTAGAGCTATGTACGCAATGAAATGTATACAATATGATTTTCTCGGCCTAAACTTTAAAAAATTATTTTATCTATTTGGATTCTAGATCTAGAGATTCTAGATCTAGATATTCTAGATCATCTAGATATTCTAGATCATCTAGATCTAGAGATTCTAGATCTAGATCTAGATTATCTAGATCTACGGAAAAAACTAGACTTACACAGATGTAGACCCTACCTAGATCTAGAATCTATTCAAATAATACATTTCTATACTAAAGTATTTCAGGCCTTAATTACTTTTAAAAAATCTTTGTTTATCTATGCAATTTGCTAATCTCTATAATATATAAAGCTAAGTTGTCGGGTGCCCGATAGGGGCGACAGAACACGGGGGCCGGTTGGCCGAAAAGTCTACGATGAGGGGGTCAAAACTGACCTCGATTGACCGGCGCCTTATATGGGCGAATTAATTAAGCATTCAAATTCTCAGTGTTTTCGAAAGCCTAAGCGAAGCTGGGCAGCATGCCTAGTACTTTAATAAATGTCACGATAAAGTGATTCCACTACAGTGTACTTAAATAAATGCCAAAGTGATGTCCCCTACAGTGTCCTTCAGTGCTGTCCCCTTGTAACAAATGTCTTCCACCCGCAGGGGAAGACAACCACAAGTATGAGCGAGTGTCTTGTCCGGATGACGACAGTCATTATGATAAGTTAGTGTACCCGAAGGTGAGTAGTCGCCCCTGAAACTATCATAGATACAGTTCAATCATTCCCGCCCCTGAAACTAAAATTGGCGCTGTTAATTAATTAACTAAGATGAGTAGTAATTGTGTAACCACTTGAAACCTACCAAGAAAAGAAACTATTCTAAGAAAATGTTTAGTCCCACGCTTCATTAAACGTTTTCTCCCGGCTCTTGATGGGGTCGGCTGGATAGACTTGTTCGTGAATTTAGCAGCACATTTAAAAATTTAATTGGTCAAGGTTTTTAAAATCACATTACAATGTTGCACATTTTTAATTTGTAGCAGCGGTGGTGAACCCCCCTCCCCACCAATGAACGTCGAAATTAAGGTTTCCATATATATATGTGAGCGGCTGGAGTGTGTTTATCTGTTATTATAATTATTTGTAACTAAGAAGGCGAATGTCGCTTTTTATGTTCCTTTGAGGATTGTTGTGGTTTTTAGTTAAGTAGTCCGCTATTATGGCGCTGATATGATTTCGATTTTACAATGGTTTGTAGCCTGGTTATTGTGTCTTGTTTATATTTTAATGTTATTAGTTATGCAAACTTTGTTTTGAATTGTTGCTCCACTTTGCTTTATGTCCTGAATGTAAGTTATTGTTGTATTAGGGACTATTTTCTTGTGCGTAGCTTTGGTTTCTTTGTTCGTAGTATTGGGTTCTTTGTTCGTGAATGTGGGGTGTCGACAGGGAGGGACGTTCTGCTGGAATGTCGAGGCCTGTGTGTTAAAGAGTTTCTGTGACACCTTTATATGGTGTATGGTAACGACGGTGGTCCGAAATTGGGTGTTTTGTTACGTTGAGTTCTGTTTCTGTTTTGTATGTCTCTAGTGTTCTGTTTGATCTAGATTCTAGTTTTTTTATAATAACTTTTGGTTCCATATTTATTATTTTGTTAAATAAATTTTATATTATTGTTTAAAGTTTTTTTGTTTTTAATTTAGACTAAGGTTAGGTTATTAACCAGTCTGGGTTTATCCAGGCTTGCACTGACCGGACAGTAGTAGTAGATAAGCCTAGGGAAGGGTAGAGTAGATTTTAAGGTATCCCCCCCCCCCCCCCTAGCAGGGCTTACAAATTGGTAGCACGAGTGGGGTCAGTGCTTTAGTCTAGTTAAATTTTTGTTTTTTTGATAGGGCTAGGTGTAGCTTAGATAAATTTTTTGTTTTTGATAGGCCCTTTTTGGAACCATATGTGTTTAGTTTTTGTTTAGTGTAGGAACCGTTTGTTGTTAAAACACCCCATTCGGACGAGATGGCGGAGGTGGCACCAACCATCATCATCGTTCCACCCAGGGAGATCCTAATCCGGAGGTTCCATGGGGACAGCCATGGCTATGAGGTGGACCGGTTCATCAAAGAGGTCCAGTCCCTCTGGAGGGCCAGGGGAAACCTCTCAGTAGAAGAGAGGAAGGACCTCCTCTGGCAGTACCTGGGGGAAGCGGTGAGAGAGGAGCTGAGCTGCAGGGGTGATGACCTGCAGCATGACCCAGAAGCCACCCTCAGGCTGCTCAGAGAGGTGTACGGCGAGAAGAGGAGAGTACCGCAGCTCATGGCCCAGTTTCAGATGGTTGTACAGGGCCAACACGAGTCGGTGAGGGCCTACTCGCACCGACTGCACAGGGCCTTCAAGACCCTGGTTACGAGGCAGAGTGCCCTGCAGGTCCCACAGACTGATGCAGGGTTTCTTCGAGACCAGTTCGTGGAAAACCTGAGCCAGGCCTCAGTCAGACGCCATCTGCACGAGCTGATTTTCCGGGACCCCAAGATCCCCTTCCTGGCCATACGTGATGCGGCCATTCGATGGTCTGGAGACGAGGACCCTCTTGCTGAACCTGCCTACGTGGCAGCAATAAATGCCAGGCCCATTGAAAAATGTTCGTTCAGGTCCAAGCTGGAGGACAAAGTCAACAGGCTCACCGAGCAGCTTGCTGCTCTGCTGAAGCACTTTACGCGGGACCCCAAATTTTCCAATGTGCGCCAAGCACCTCGCAAGCGCACGGAGGTCCAATCAAAGGGCTGCTATAACTGTCACCAGAGGGGTCACCTCGCCCGTCATTGCCATATGGCAAAGAAATATGTGCCCAAAGGGAATCAAGTGACACCGAAGGTATGGCGAGGGGACAAGGTCCTCCGCCCCCGCGAAAGGACTCTGGTGCCTGCCAAGGGTGTACCAACCATTCAGGCGACGGAAGGAGACCCCAGAATGAAGGACGACAAAGTGGTACAGCCATTAGACCAACCTTTTCACCCAGATCCGTCAGTGGTATCAGGCCCAACATCCTGCCTACGCGCCAGCATAACCAGTGTAAAGGTGGACCAATCTGAGGAACTAGAGGCAATGGTTCCACCTAACCCATCCTTAATTAAGGCACCAGGTGGTGGTTCTGGGGCATGCCCCCAGACAGAGTCAAGCAAGAAGGACAAACAGGTCAAAAAGGCACCTGTAGCTGAACTGGCCATAGGCGACCTGGTCCTTCTGAGACAGCCCCCACTTGGCAGAAGCAAAATAGCAGACCTGGACGGCCCGACAGTTTATGTCGTGGTCGAATTACCTCCGATCACCGGCGGGTGTTACGCCATTAAAAAGAAAGATGGCCCTTCTGGCACCCGCCGGGTGGCCAGTACACAGATTAGGAGATATGTGCCTCCCAAGGCTCAACCGCCCTCCCCAAGGCCGGTCAAAGTTGTACCGCCGGCTGCTGCAGCCACATCGTCTGATTTTTTTGCAAAATTTTGTTTTTTGTAAAATTTATGATTGTGCCCTGTGGGCTGATTTTTTTGCAAGTTCTTTTGCAAAATTGTGATTGCAAAGTTTTTGTATTTTTGTAACATTTATGATTATGCCCTGTGGGCTGATTTTTGTTCAAGTTCTTTAGCTTGCGGTGACCGCAAGCTTTAAGGGGCGTGTATGTGAGCGGCTGGAGTGTGTTTATCTGTTATTATAATTATTTGTAACTAAGAAGGCGAATGTCGCTTTTTATGTTCCTTTGAGGATTGTTGTGGTTTTTAGTTAAGTAGTCCGCTATTATGGCGCTGATATGATTTCGATTTTACAATGGTTTGTAGCCTGGTTATTGTGTCTTGTTTATATTTTAATGTTATTAGTTATGCAAACTTTGTTTTGAATTGTTGCTCCACTTTGCTTTATGTCCTGAATGTAAGTTATTGTTGTATTAGGGACTATTTTCTTGTGCGTAGCTTTGGTTTCTTTGTTCGTAGTATTGGGTTCTTTGTTCGTGAATGTGGGGTGTCGACAGGGAGGGACGTTCTGCTGGAATGTCGAGGCCTGTGTGTTAAAGAGTTTCTGTGACACCTTTATATGGTGTATGGTAACGACGGTGGTCCGAAATTGGGTGTTTTGTTACGTTGAGTTCTGTTTCTGTTTTGTATGTCTCCAGTGTTCTGTTTGATCTAGATTCTAGTTTTTTTATAATAACTTTTGGTTCCATATTTATTATTTTGTTAAATAAATTTTATATTATTGTTTAAAGTTTTTTTGTTTTTAATTTAGACTAAGGTTAGGTTATTAACCAGTCTGGGTTTATCCAGGCTTGCACTGACCGGACAGTAGTAGTAGATAAGCCTAGGGAAGGGTAGAGTAGATTTTAAGGTATCCCCCCCCCCCACCCTAGCAGGGCTTACATATATATATATATATATATATATATATATATATATATATATATATATATATATATATATATATATATATATATATATATATATATATATATACAATGACAAGTTCGCAATTATAGTGGTTAGGCTTTTTGAAGAATATCTGAACTAGCTTTAGTTATTAGAATATATCTGAACTAGCTTTACTTATTAGAATATATCTGAACTAGCTTTACTTATTAGAATATATCTGAACTAGCTTTAGTTATTAGAATATATCTAAACTAGCTTTACTTATTAGAATATATCTGAACTAGCTTTAGTTATTAGAATATATCTGAACTAGCTATAGTTATTAGAATATATCTAAACTAGCTTTAGTTATTAGAATATATCTGAACTAGCTTTAGTTATTAGAATATATCTGAACTAGCTTTAGTTATTAGAATATATCTGAACTAGCTTTAGTTATTAGAATATATCTAAACTAGCTTTAGTTATTAGAATATATCTGAACTAGCTTTAGTTATTAGAATATATCTGAACTCGCTTTAGTTATTAGAATATATCTGAACTACCTTTAGTTATTAGAATATATCTGAACTACCTTTAGTTATTAGAATATATCTGAACTAGCTTTAGTTATTAGAATATATCTGAACTAGCTTTATTTATTAGAATATATCTGAACTAGCTTTAGTTATTAGAATATATCTAAACTAGCTTTAGTTATTAGAATATATCTGAACTAGCTTTATTTATTAGAATATATCTGAACTAGCTTTAGTTATTAGAATATATCTAAACTAGCTTTAGTTATTAGAATATATCTGAACTAGCTGTTGAAACATTTGTTGACCACTGAAGGTAATCTGCCTGTCCCCAGGATGTGGCCGACGAGGATTTGAACCAGCGCCTGCAGCACATCGAGGAGACGCAGGACCGCATGGCCAAGGACTTCCACCTGAGTCAGCAGGCCATTCTGGGTGAGATCCGGCGTCTGACTGACTCCATGGAGCACCTGAAGACCATGAGCATCAACGTCCAGCGCTCGGTGGTCGAGTCCTCCACCGTCCTGCAGGAGACCGTGGAGAATCTCAAGAAACAGTTTCTGGAAACTTCCGACCACCTGGGTCAGCACGTGCTGCAGGTCAGGCGTGACGTCTTGAACCTGAAGAAAGAGGGCGGGGCCGGCTCGACCCCTGACCCCGCTAGTCCCCAGCACGACACGCGGGTCAAGCACAGCTTCGAGTGGGACATCAACAGCGTGGACAACCTGATCAAGACCCAGGGTCACGTGTCCAGCTATTCCTACCACATCGGCGAGCTCAACTACAAGCTGCTGGGGGCCGCCGACTTCACCAAGGACGGGCTGATGTTCATCAAGATCTCCGGCGAGTCAACCCATCCCTCCGGCAACGATCACCTGACCAAGTCGGGCAGGTTTGAGTGTAAGGTCAGCGTGACCGACCGCTCGGGGAACTTGGTGGACTGGGTCATCGGGAAAGTGAGCGGGGATTTCTTCAAAGACAAAGTTTGGATGGTCGGGAACGCCTCAGTGCCAGACCTGAAGAAGAAAGGTTACTGCGTGCAGGGGAAGACATTCAAACTCAAGTTCGCCATTGACATCTTTAAGTAGCGCCATCAGGGGAAGACATTCAAACTCAAGTTCGCCATTGACATCTTTAAGTAGCGTCATCAGGGGCAGATAACATTCAGTCCCTTACAGGACTTCCATAAGCGACGCTGGAACCGTATCTGATTGGCTGTTGCTGGGAGACCCGTGTCCATGTCCACTGGTCAAACAGGTGCTGGTCCACTGGTCAAACAGGTGGGCGAGAAAATCATTTGGCTGAGATACAGGGGAGGGAATCCTAAGGGGAAACTACATGCGCCAGTGTTTGTTTACAAACTTTGTCTCTATGGGTGGGCTGTTGGTGGGGCTGTTGGTGGGCTGTTGGTGGCAACGTGTGAGACCCACCCTGAGAGCTGGAATCATTTCGTAGGCAGTCAGATGTAATCAGATGTAATCAGATGTAAGCTTTACTACGGCCACTGACAGCACTATGGCCACTGACAATGGCCACTTCTGTTAGACGTTTAGTGTAGTTTTAGATCAAGTTGTTTTACAGCAGCGTGTTGAAATAAAATCGCCCCGTGTCGTGCTTGTGTTGTTCAACTTGACGGGAAAATGCGCCTTTAATAAAAATGTGAAAGAACGGGAAACACTTATACTCGTGCGGGAATTCCCGATATAAAATTCAACAATTGACATTGACACTCCATGTAAAAATAAACAATGTAGAAATTGTTTTGTTATTGCAAGTTTTTATAACACGCTCTTATTTAAATTGCTTCCTCGTACTTGGTTTTCTCTGTTGTCATGGATCGAAACTGGCGAGCGAAATTGCAACCACTTCTAACCGACCAATTTCTCTGAAATTAGCACATGGGTAAAGACCCAATAACAATGAAATCTGACCTCAATTTCTACTTAATTAGATGCTTAATTAATTTTTATTAAATTAAAAAAATGATTTTCTTTAAATTATATAATAATGAACTACTAAATTTTAAAAAATAAAAATAAAAACACGGGTCGCTTCAATACGTAAGATAGAAGGCCCCGCTTTTTTTTTAGTTTTTATGGTAGTTCGCTGTTAGATATTTAAACAAAATTATTTATTTCTCCTATTTAGTGTAAAAAGTAAAGTTCCCTTTTCAAACCTGACGGTCTATAGGGCAAGTGAAGTAGAGTTCACTATTTGTTTCTGTGACCTCGGCATATGAAGAGATAGTGTGGTCAGCACTATGCCCAGCCGCCTTTACTTTCCCTAACATGAGTTAAGTACCCATCAGAGTTGGGTGGACTCAGGGACGGTCTACAGACTTGAACCCGGATTCGAACTCGAGACTTACGGGTTAGCTATCCAGCTCTCTACCGCTAGACCACTCCGTGTATTATCACATAAAAGATTGTTATTAGATTTTTTTATAAATTGCTTTTATAACTTAACCTGCCCCCTCCCCTCTCACATAAAGCCTGAAAACCTAATGCGTCTTGCTCATTATTCAAATATTATTCAACGAACCGTTCGTTAACTGAAACGTCCCTTGAATAAAAGGTTCGTTAACAGAAACACGAATTTCCTTAGATCATAAATTGAAGTCATTTTAAGCCCAAAATAATTTATCAACCATCGAAAGATTATTTCGACTGACTTTTAGCTTTTAATTCGCATATAAAAAAAACCCCAACAACTGTTGCTATAGTAACTAAAATAGATCAATGTTTGCGGCATGATCTAAACAAGCATAACTTCATGTATGGACGAAATGTAGGTCGCTGCTATATCCTCTTTAATTAGACCTTCATTAAGTAGAGTCAGGTCCTCATTAATTAGTCAGTCCCTCTCTTTAACTAGTCAGGCCCTCATTAATTAGTCAGTCCCTCTCTTTAACTAGTCAGGCCCTCTTTAATTAGTTAGTCCCTCTTTAATTAGTCAGTCCCTCTTTAATTAGTCAGTCCCTCTTTAATTAGTCAGTCCCTCTTTAATTAGTCAGTCCCTCTTTAATTAGTCAGTCCCTCTTTAATTAGTCAGTCCCTCTTTAATTAGTCAGTCCCTCTTTAATTAGTCAGTCCCTCTTTAATTAGTCAGTCCCTCTTTAATTAGTCAGTCCCTCTTTAATTAGTCAGTCCCTCTTTAATTAGTCAGTCCCTCTTTAATTAGTCAGTCCCTCTTTAATTAGTCAGTCCCTCTTTAATTAGTCAGTCCCTCTTTAATTATTCAGTCCCTCTCTTTGACTAGTCAGTCCCTCTTTAATTAGAGTCATGTCCTCTTTAATTATTCAGTCCCTCTTTAATTAGTCAGTCCCTCTTTAATTAGTCAGTCCCTCTTTAATTAGTCAGTCCCTCTCTTTGACTAGTCAGGCCCTCTTTAATTAGTCAGTCCCTCTTTAATTAGTCAGTCCCTCTTTAATTAGTCAGTCCCTCTTTAATTAGTCAGTCCCTCTTTAATTAGTCAGTCCCTCTTTAATTAGTCAGTCCCTCTTTAATTAGTCAGTCCCTCTTTAATTAGTCAGTCCCTCTTTAATTAGTCAGTCCCTCTTTAATTAGTCAGTCCCTCTTTAATTATTCAGTCCCTCTCTTTGACTAGTCAGTCCCTCTTTAATTAGAGTCATGTCCTCTTTAATTATTCAGTCCCTCTTTAATTAGTCAGTCCCTCTTTAATTAGTCAGTCCCTCTCTTTGACTAGTCAGGCCCTCTTTAATTAGTCAGTCCCTCTTTAATTAGTCAGTCCCTCTCTTTAACTAGTCAGTCCCTCTTTAATTAGTCAGTCCCTCTCTTTAACTAGTCAGGCCCTCGTTAATAAGATTCAGGCCCGTCTAAAAAGCACCGTTTGAGTAAACATCATTACTATGTTTGTTTTATCCAAACATTTCTTTCAGCAAATACCTTAAAGAACTTTATCATGGCTCGTGTTTCCCTTGTAGCAGAAACTAGGTCAAAGAGTTAAAGGAACTCTAAAAATAGCTACGACCTTTACTTAATTTTTAAGAAACGAAAATGTCAAGCAACATTGAAGTTTGAACCCAACATCAAACACCAGGGCAGCGAGTATGCCTACATACACTTGGCTAATATTGCGTCTAATTTGTGTATTCAAACCACAGGTCTATCGAGGCGTATATTGGACCATTCACGCATGCGCAGGTCATTAAGATTCAAGTGGTGGAACCAGGAAGTAAAACTGTGACCTACATTAGAATGTCACCAGTGTAAACCTTGAGAGATAGAGATCTTACACAAACCTGACGTTGTTTTTTTGTTTTCTACAGGTCAGTAAAGCAGAGTTTCTTCCACAAAGCCCCTCCGAAATTTTTTTTACCGCCCCCGAACGAAATGAAATTGATATAATTTATATAGAAAATATATGCTTTTAACAGTGTCCGCCCCCCCCCCCCCCCCGACGAAAGTCTACCCCCCCCCCCCCCCCGAAAATTTCAAGTGCCCCCCCGGAGAAAAAAGTCTGGAAGAAACACTGCAGTCACGAGAATAGTAGAAGTTGTATACATGCACTCTACTGCCACGGAGCTTAAGTGTTGATCAAAGGTATATATATATATATATATATATATATATATATATATATATATATATATATATATATATATATATATATATATATATATATATATATTCACACAGACATTCATTCGTACGTGTATACATATGTTGACTTCTGTCACGTATTTGCCCCGTGCTAATAAATTCAATTGAAATATAACGCAGTATGATGTCTTCATATGTTGTTCACCGGTTTGACCTGGGAAGGATCAGGTAAACAATATTCACCTGACGTCATCAGTTTCTGCCCAAAATACCGTACTGTCTGTAAAATCTGCCGTAAGTACCGTGCAGGTGAATCGAGTCCAGTGCAGGTTAGATTACCTCCCTGTACAGAGAGTGTGTACACAGCAAAAACTTTTTCAAACGTCCCCTGATCCTAAAATCTAGCCGACAATTTGATTGGTTAAAACTATCTACTTCTCTACCTAATATCACGTGATCAAACTTCCTGTTACGTAACCCGTGGAACCTAGATGGAACCTGTATGGAAGAACCTGTATGGAACCTGTATAGAACCTGTGAAGAACCTGTAAGGAACCTGTGAAGAACCTGTATGGAACCTGTATGGAACCACGTATGTCATTGGAGTGAAACGATTGACAGCAGCCAGCCATCACGTATGACTTAAAAAACCAATCACAATCTGCAGGTGTTACATAATACGTTGCAGGTGATGTCAGATTTTCTTACGTTCAGTTACATATGGTCGTATGGTTGTATGGGAATAAGTTTTAATATGGGGTATGTAGTTGTGCTGTGCGCGCGCGCGCGCACACACACACACACACACACACACACACACACACACACACACACACACACACACACACACACACACACACACACACACACACACACACACACACACACACACACACACACACACACACACACACACACACACACACACATATATATATACACACATATATATCATTTAGGCTTACATGTGTGTTGATCACCGAGTAGGTCATCATCTTTTTCTTGTCATCAATTATTATATTAGAGGGGATTTCCTCTAAGACATTTAAGTAACACCTGTCAACATGTTAAACACCATACTTGCCGTCCCACTTCAGCCAGCTTATATTTTTGGACTTGCTTCCATAAACTTTGTCCTCAAAGAAAACTCTCCAGCCGGCAGTGTTTGATTTTGGTCATCTCTCCACTGGCAGCGTTTCTTCCAGGCATCATTCCCCCCCCCTCCCCCGAATGTATTAGAATTTTTATAGAAAATATATACTCTTACTAGTGTCCGCCTCCCCCCCCCCACCTGAACAAAAATGTCTGTGATCTAAGGGAGGTAAAACCATATACATTTTTCTGGAAAATATTAAGATGAATTACCTACCTTGACTAATGAAGACTTTGAAAAAAAAACGTCATCAAAAGTTAACACAAGAGTTGATGTCCCTTATTAAAGTGTTGGTGATGAGGTGGCAGAGTGGTATTGCGAGTTGTAATAAGATTTAGTATATGTAGAGGGTGGTTATTTTTCGACATTTGGTGGTCAGGGGTGGGTTTTTCCAATTATAGATGGGAGAAGAGAGGGCCTGAGATTGTCTCTTTATGGCGGGGTGTGATGGTGTGGGGTGGTGTAAGGTAGTGTGTGGTGGGGTGTGGCGGGGTGGGGTGGTGTGGTTTAAGGTGGTGTATGATGGTTTTCTACCGCCCAGTCTAGCCAAGCCCCCCCCCCCGTGTCCAACACAACACCGACCACCCCCTCCACTGTTCCCCTGTCAGCCCTGCTCCCCTCCCCTGCCCCTGTCTGTCTGCCAGCCTCCCACTAATGGAGCCAACAATGGCCGCAAACAATGACGTCAGTACAAGCGAGGCCACGCACTAATCACAGAATTCTTGCTGCCCGCCCTTTGCTAGGGGACCTCGCGTTTCACAAGCGGAAGTTGTTTTAGGTGCACTTGTTTAGTGGCATTTGGTGCACTTGTTTAGTGGCATTTGGTGCACTTGTTTAGTGGCATTTGGTGCACTTGTTTAGTGGCATTAGGTGCACTTGTTTAGTGGCATTTGGTGCACTTGTGTAGTGGCATTTGGTGTACTTGTGTAGTGGCATTTGGTGCACTTGTGTAGTGGCATTCAGTATGCTTTCTCAAACTGTAGTGGCATTCAATTTGTGCTTAGTTATTCGACTGTGATATTTTATTGAACTTTTTCTCTCGCGTTAACGGATTGACACAACCATAAGGCAAGTTGGTGGACCATTTTCTTACAAGACAGACTTTAGGATTCACAGACTTTAGTTAGAGGATTCTCAGACAGACTTGTTACGGCCAAACAGACAGTCTGAAGGCCACTTGTTGTTGACAGCACTAGGTTAGAATACAGGGGAGTTAAGCATCTAATCATCACTAGGGGAGAGGACCCGTGGCTCCAAGTTCTCTGAGAGAAACTACCAGTCAGCGATGTGTGCTGGCTTCACATGACGGGAGGAGATTGACGGAAGTGGTGAGAAAGTGAAACTAGGGTTCACATGACGGCAGGACATTCACGGAAGTGGTGAGAAAGTGAAACTAGGGTTCACATGTCATTCACGGAAGTGGTGAGAAAGTGAAACTAGGTGGACTTCCGGAAGCTGAGCCAGGGCCTGCAGGATGGGCATCAGGAGCTCCCGGCTCTCAGAGGACCAGCTGCAGGAGCTGCAGGCCTGCACGTACTGTAAGTACTCACGGTCAAGGTCAGGCTCTAGTCGGGGGGGGGGGGGTAGACAACCATTGTCACGGTCAAGGTCAGGCTCTAGTCGTGGGGGGGGGGGGGAGACAACCATTGTTACGGTCAAGATCCAGTTCTATTCGGGGGGGGGGGGGGGAGACAACCATTGTCACGGTCAAGGTCAGGCTCTATTCGTGGGGGGGGGGTGCGTGCACGTACTGTAAGTACTCACGGCCAAGGTTAGGCTCTAGTCGGGGTGAATAATTATACGGTCACCATAGAGGACATGTCTGACGACAGTAAAAAAAAAACTTTTTTGTCAGGTAGAACATTTGTTAATTAGGTTTCGTCAGGTAGTACATTTGTTAATTAGGTTTTGTCAGGTAGAACATTTGTTAATTAGGTTTTGTCAGGTAGTACATTTGTTAATTAGGTTTTGTCAGGTAGAACATTTGTTAATTAGGTTTTGTCAGGTAGAACATTTGTTAATTAGGTTTTGTCAGGTAGTACATTTGTTAATTAGGTTTTGTCAGGTAGAACATTTGTTAATTAGGTTTTGTCAGGTAGAACATTTGTTAATTAGGTTTTGTCAGGTAGAACATTTGTTAATTAGGTTTTGTCAGGTAGAACATTTGTTAATTAGGTTTTGTCAGGTAGAACATTTGTTAATTAGGTTTTGTCAGGTAGAACATTTGTTAATTAGGTTTTGTCAGGTAGAACATTTGTTAATTAGGTTTTGTCAGGTAGAACATTTGTTAATTAGGTTTTGTCAGGTAGAACATTTGTTAATTAGGTTTTGTCAGGTAGAACATTTGTTAATTAGGTTTTGTCAGGTAGAACATTTGTTAATTAGGTTTTGTCAGGTAGAACATTTGTTAATTAGGTTTTGTCAGGTACTCAGGTGAGGGCGGCGGGGCCGGGTAGGTTAAGCTTATGGTTGCTGAACCGAAAAGTCGAAAGCCTCGGGCAGATAATGCGGGATAGCTGGGGACAATCAGGAAAGTTAACACCGAAGTTCATCTGATTTAGCGGCCCATATGGCGCGTAACATGTCATACTGAATTGTACTGTATCTCTTCCAATACTTGTAGTAGGAAGTAGGGGGCAGTTAGGTCATGTTTAGTTGTTTAGTTGTTAGCTTTTGGTTGGGTTTTGTAGTTGTTTGTTTGGTAGTTAGGTTTAGTTTGGTAGTTTGTGTAATGGCGGGCATGAGTGTAAAGGTCAGCTTCCGCCGCTAGAGGGCGATAAAGTGAGACCCTCGCGCCAGGCTCGTGCTGTTTGAGTCCTCAAAGTTTGTCTCTCGTTGTGTTGGTGAGTCTGTCTAACAGGGGAGGATGGTGGTAGCGTTTTACTCACAGATGGATCGATGAAAAAAATATACATTCAGGTTTATTTCATTTATTACAGTTTATAATTCTCTTACCTGTTCAACTTTTCAACTCACAAACAACTCACAAACAACTCACAACTCACAAACAACTCACAAACAACTCACAAACAACTCACAAACAACTCACAAACAACTCACAAACAACTCACAAACAACAACTCACAAACAACTCACAAACAACTTACAGGCATGTTATTAGCAAAAATAGCTTGCGTATTGTAGAGATTAAAAGCAGGTTTTACCCCAGTACCTCCACTAACCTCTGTAAACTAGCAGATAAAGCCGCTCGTCCTTAAATTAGACAAGACTTCATCTAGACCGTACCTTTCGATCCCGAACCCAACCCTACATTTGGACCCCGACCCCAACCCTACATTTGGACCCCGAACCCAACCCTACAGGCCATGAATCAAGTCCCAATGCCGACAGCTTCTATCTAGACGTTGTGTGTTCACGTATTCTGATTGGTAGAAGTCTGCATGGCGGTACACGTGTTACACAGGTATCTATAATATTAAGCTGCTAGGTAGTGTGTCATGCACTGGTATAGGCACTTTGTCTTCTTAGGTGTTGGAGAAAGTGGAAATATATATATATATATATATATATATATATATATATATATATATATATATATATATATATATATATATATATAGGCGTATTTACAGCTACTTTAATAATGATTGACGGATAGGGAAAAAAACCATTTGGTTAACGATATCGAATTTTCTTAAAATCAGATGGCAACAGAGGAGTGTCATAATTAGGTCAGAGAAGGCCTAGAGACAAATAGACTAGAGTTATCTTCCCCAGTTCACCACATCAAGGACGGACCAATAGGAATCTTCCTTAGATGAAAGAAGTAATTCGAAAGTTAATTTTCTGTTCTTGATTTTTTTCCCCGTTTAACAGCACTTGAAGGCCCGGGTTTGAGAGAATATTTGTGGAGACAGAACCATTTCGTGATTCTCTGTGTTAGAATCGTTGCTTTAAGTGCTGGTAAACAATGTCACATTGTTAGCTGTAATAGCATAGTACATTTCAGGAGTCACTACTTGGCTTTAATATTACACACACACATATACACACACACATACACACGCACGCACGAACGCACACACTCACGCATATACACATACACACAGTAGCGTATGCAGGGGGGGAGCAGGGGGAGCGGCCGCTCCCCCTCTGGCAATTTTCAGCAAAGTGGCGCCTTTTTGAAACTTTTTAAACTCTAAGTTTTAAACAATGATATTTGTTAAAAAATATTTTTGGTCGGCACATTTATGTAAATCACAAGCTTTCTTTTCATGCAGCAATTAAGCATTTTTGTACTAGTCTAGTAGTGTCTACGTTTACAAAAAGTATTAACAGCTGCATCAGTTTGCCATTCTAAAAATAACCATTAGGATGCATTGCAATGTTTAAAAAACCTTTACGGTAGTACCACTTGGCAAGAGGGGTGTTAAGTTTAAGGCAACTGTATAATGTATTTTCTTACGAATAATTGAATTAGAAAATGTTATACATAAAACTTCACACATAATTACTTTATATATACTTTATATATACAGTTTGAATCGTGTGATTAATTTTTGAAAAAATTACAATACAGAAACAAATACAACTGATGTGGCACCTCTATTTAAATTTACTTATGAGCAAACTGCGTAGTGGTGGGGAAATTTTGACAAAGTCAAAAACGTCATCACGATGAAGTAGTAGTATTCTTACAGTTTGGACGATAGTGATTACGATTATAAATTATATGAAACAGTTACAACCCCCCTCCCTATTTCTGTAATATGTATTTGTGTAATATATATTTGTGTAATATATATGTATGTTTAGAACAGTCATCTAAAAACTATGTTTACTATGTTTACTCTGAGTTGGTTATCTCCACCCCCCCCCCAACACACACACACCCCACCACCGCAATTGTGTAGAGCGACATTAATGTCACACCTAGGTATACACTGGGTTGGATAATTGACCTAATGTGACCGGACAGTGGTGAATGAAGTTGACCCCCCCCCCCCAACCCACCCTGAACTGATCTGTTAAGTACATGTAGAAAAACGCGTAATGATGTACCAAAGTAACATGCCGCCAGAAAATTAGCTTTGTAAACGTAAAACTCTGTAAATATTGTTTTTGTAATTACCAGTAAAAAGGTGTGTGATCAATACAGTGATCTAACCCATACCTATCACCATGTTAAAAATGATCTTTAAAGAACAAAAAGAAGCAATAGTTAGTTAAAAATATATGATCTGAACTAAATGACAAATGTTTTGTTAAATGTAGGCTGTTATTCCGACCGTTTTTTACTTTACATTGAAAAGTGTGGTTTTTATACCAACTCTGATTTTAAAAACTTTCATTATGCTGTAATACTTTAGCATTTATGATGACAATATATTAAATTCTGATTATAGACAAAAACATTTTGTAAACACGAATAGTGTTAAACAATTTTATTATATTCTAAAGTAATTATTTATTTGTTTTGACATTTATAATTAAATTTGTAGATATATACATATTTATATTTAGAGAGTGATTATTTCCCCTATTTCACTTGTCTTAAATAATTTCTCAGGAATTATTATGTAAGAAATTTTTTTTACAAGAATTACAAAACAGATTGTGATACGTTCATTGTTTTTGGTTGTAGTGTGTGTATATTTTATTTTTTAGATTGATACAATTTTTGTTTGTCGCCCTTCATTGTGTGTTTTTTCTTATTTCTTCAGAGTGCTACTTTCAATTTATTTTACATCATAGCGAAGTAATAACATACAGCTAGTAATTATATATATATACTAGCCGTCCCGGCCAGGCCCTGCTCTGGCTTCTGTGAAAAACCTTTCTGTTAAAGACCATTACCTGTGTGTTTAGTAATCATCATAAACCCGGCATTGCACACCCAAACCAAAACCAAAACAACAAAACGCAAACATAACGCTAACACAATTACAAATACAAACGAAAACAAAAACCTAACAACTAACCCAACCACAACCACAAACACCAATACGAACACAAAGAAAAAAAAACGAAAAAGCAAACGAAAACAAACCAAATCCAAATGCAAAACCAACCACAAACCCAAAGAAAAAAACACAAACGAAAAAACAAACGAAAACAAACCAAATACAAACGCAAAACCAACCACAAACACAAATACAAACACAAACGCAAAGAAGATAAAACACAAACGAAAACGAAAAAAGAAAGAACAAAAACGAACCAAATCAAAACGCAACCACTAACGCAAACCCAACCTAAACACAAAGAAAACACTAACGCGAACAGAAACGCACAGTGCTCAGAGTCTAGCCCCGGGCGGAATCGCCTGTTTCAGCCTAATAAACGACTATAGTACCCCAACTTATTCATAGTCTTTTGCACTCACTTTAATGAACGTAGGCGCGAAACCGAACACGGGAGGCCCGGGACCCCAAATAGCACCCTGTCTGGGCGCCAGAGGACGCACCATGACGTCACCGCCTGATTGAACTTAGTAAACGACTATAGTACATAACTTATTCATAGTCTTTTGAACTCACGCGAACGTATATACCATAGCGTACACCGGAAGGCCCGG